TTATATGAAATACAAGGGTATACTAACCCGTTTACAAACTTAAAAAAAAAAAAAAAAAAAGTTTGAAACAATCACAATAGAAACCAGCCAAGAAAATCATACACCTAATCTGCACAATTCCAGCAACCAAAACATAACGCAAACCTCCACTTTACACATTAACCATGAGGACCATGATGGGTGCACACCCGGGTGTGGGTTCCGGGTGTGCACCCATCATTTTCCTAACCATGACCTTATTGCTGCTTCAAATACATCTTCAATTGAATTTTGTGCCTTCTCACTGCCGAAGCACCACTAACTGGATCAATCTTTCATTCATAGAATGAAAAAACACAGCCAGATAACTTGTACCATATCTAGCATTCTCTCCCTATAACTCCCATTATTCTAAAACACACATTCATTTCTCCAAAACCACAAATACCAAGAGACAATAAGAAAAATACAAGCATCCATCTCCTTCCCCACTATCCTATCCAAGCTATACCGAAAGAACTTTGCAGCTCCCTTCATTGTATTTGGCAACACAGCTTCCATACCCCACCAATGTAACACCTCACATAACACATTACATAACACACTTATTAAAAAATATTATTTTTTATTTAAAATTAAAAATAAACAAACTTAAAAATGTAGTCATGCATATATATAAAATGCAAAATCGACTAAATTAACTATATTTAATTTATATTTTAATAACCAAACTAGGATCAATGTCAAAAAATGTATTAAACCAAATTTATACTAATTATTTTCCATTAATTTATCTTGTGTATTATATCCTCCCTCCATATCTAATTTCTAATTTGAGGAACATGTTTAAATTTAATTGTCAATTTTTCTTTTTAAATAGCATTTACTCCCTATTTAATTTGAGAGAATCAGAAGGGAGGAGAAAGGAAGGAAATGGAGGATATCATTTTCCTTCTATTTCTCTTCACTCCCTTCCCCTTGTTTGATTAAACTAAAATTAATACAAAAAAATAAAATAAAATAAAGATAAAGATAAACCCTTAGCCTCTCCTCTAATTTTTTGTTATCCAAATAAGGAAATTTGTTTTCCTCTCCTCCAACAAAACAAATTATTAATACCTTTATTCTTATTTACCTATATTTTAAAAAGAAAATTACAACGTAGATTAAATAAAAAGACTTATTTAAGTTCTCTTTTTGTTTCAAAATAACTATCATTTTTAACTTTGAGTTTGTTCAAATTAATTATCATTTTATCATTTTTAAAAATAGAAAAATATTTTTTTTTCTATTTTAACCCTATTATTATCCCTTTAATTAATTATTCTATCACAAAAAGTCTCTTTTATCTTTTAATTTTTTTTCTAAGCATAATATAAGTAAACACATATATATTGTCCTCCAATCCTTAATTTGATGAAAAAGTTAAAAAATACAATTATTTTCAAACAGAAAAAAAAATGATTAATTAAGAATAAATATGAAATTTTATCAAGTAATTATTACATTTCTATTTCATTAAAAGAATGTAAATTTACTAAAATTGAAAGAAAAGAATTTTTAGCATACCTATAAAAGGTAAGTTACCGTATCTGAAAGTTTCATCATATTCAAATTTAGTATCAGAAAACTTCACATAAAAAATGAATAAAAATCTAACAAAATATTTGCCTAAAGCACGAAGCAGCTAAAATTCATATGTTGGTACCCAATGATTTTAATAACTTTTGATCTGCAGTTGAGATTAGAGTCCAAATCTCTGTTCTAGCTGCACTCACCAACTTCATCATGTGACAAGACAAAAAAACACGAAGGATATAGCTAAAATTCACCAGTTCGTGTTTTGTATCCAAGTGAAAAGAAGAAAAAGTCAGCCCAAAAATGAGGTCAAACAATAATAAACACTGAACAGAGAGCACTGGGACACAACGATGGACTCCAAAGTCCAAATTACCATACTTGAACTGAACATTTGAAGCCCAAGGAAATACAGAGACTATTCGGCTTCGGTCTCATCAACTCGGTTTTGCCTAACACTTTGGCATCCTAGCTCCAGCAATTGAAATTTTGGAATGATATAGTTATAATGTTATGTATGATTTTGAGGTTATAATAATAATATATATTAAATGATTATGGTATTATATTAAATAAATATATATATATAATATCACGAATAAATTTTTAAATAAAAAGACTTAATAATGTGATAATATATCACAATAACAAAACAAAACGAAGTGAAAAGAAAATCAACAATAGATCCTAACTACGAACATATGCTAAAGTGTTGGAAGTGTGGTACTTCTACGTCTCCTCTAGGTAAATACACTCCTCAAACTTAGGGTATGTTTGGTATAGTTTTTTTTTTTTTTTTTTTGAACAGCAAAAGTAACATTTATTGAAAAAAGAAGTACAAGGGTCTGTTTGGTATAGTACTTTTGAAGTAGTTAGCGATTTTACCTAAACCGTTAATATAAGTATTTAGTAAACTTATATATTTCAAAATCATAGCAAACAAGGTGTTTGATAAAAAATTTTATATAGCGATTTGAAACTAACAGATAGTAGTTATGATTTAAACTATTAGCAAATTGAAAAACTTAGTTTATATAGTTTTTTGTATCAAAATACTAGTAAATTGAAATTTTTTAATTTTATTGACAAATTTATCTTTTTTAATTTTTTAATTTTTTACCACAGTTTTTAATTAATATTTATCTAATAAGTTTTAATTTTATCTTTTACCTTTAATAACATCAAGTGATTATTATATTTTTATTTTTTTATATTAATTTATCATAAAAAGATATATTATCTTAATAAACCAAATTTACTAATTAAAAAAATGATTATTTTTTATTTAAAAATAATATAATTTTTTCTTTGTTAAAAATTATATTATTGAGTGTACAATTACATTATTATAATTAATTTTATTTATTTATTTTCTTATTATTTTTTTATAAAATTAATTATTTTAATAATAAAAAATAAAAAATATTTTTAAAAAATACATTTAATTATTTTTAAATATGTCCTTA